AAAAATTACCCCGAGTAATACTCGGGCGTGACATTTTCGAACACCAGTGCTGTGCCTGAGATTAACTCGGGCATGACAGTTAAAAGGTTAATGTAAATATTGAGGTTTCAGACTTAGTACCATTAGCTGATTACAGTTTTAACATTCCAGGGAACATTGATATGTTGTTAGGTGCAGAGATATTCTATGAATTATTGAGACCAGGACAGATTTATACATAAAATTCAAAATTGCTTTTACAAAATACAGTGTTTAGCTATGTCGCCAGTAGAAGTGTAGATCAGGGAAATGAGTCTAAGATACACTGCGGATTGATACGCGAAGAGAATTTAAATAAAACATTGAAAGGGTTTGGGAGAATTTAAATAAAACATTGAAAGGGTTTGGGAGAATTGAAAATGTAGATTTAGAATTAAGCAAAAGTAAAGAAAATTCTATATGTGAGGAACATTTTGTGCGAACGCACCGTAGAAATGAGGAAGGTAGATACATGGTAAAAATGCCCCTTAAAGATGATCCTTCGTATTTAGGTCAGTCTAGGGACATTGCTCTTAAAAAACTCAGATCGCTGTGCACTCGCTTGTCAAGAGATCCAAATTATCTCTCTCTATATCGTGACTTCATCCATGAGTATATTCAACTAGGACATATGAAGGAAGTTAAAGAAGAGAAAGAGCCTGAAGTGGCATATTATGCAAGACATAATGGAATATATAAACCATAAAAAAACTAGTACTAAATTAAGAGTTGTGTTTAATTGTTCAAGTTTAACAACTAACGGTATTTCACTCAACTCTCTCCAGTATAACAGTGGAGTTATACAAAAAGATTTATTTTCGATAATGATCAGATTTTGAATTCACGTATATGCCTTAACAGCCGATGTGAAAAAAATGTATAGGATGATTTTGATAGATGAAAGTCAACACAACCTTCAAAGAATCCTATGGAGTGATAGCGCTAATGAGGCAGTAAAGACCTATGAACTGGTAACCGTTCGGTATAGAGTCATTGCACTAATTGCACAAGTTCCGTATGAGGTCAGTGCTCCATTCTTAGCAATGAGGACACTAAAACAGCTTTCATTAGACGAAGAGAGTAATTTTCCACTGGCAGCACCTATGTTATGTGAAAATTTCTATATGGATGGTGTGTTATGCGGAGCTCCGACGTTAAAAGAGGATAAGGAGTTACAACAGCAGCTTATATTGATTTTTCAAAGAGCAGGCATGCAGTTGCATAAAAGATGCGCTAATCATTCGGAACTTTCTCTAAACCGGGAAGTATACAATTTCTTCGATCCAAATGAAACGAAAACCTTGGGCATGTCATGGAATTTAATAAAGGATTGCTTTTCCTTCAGAGTTAAAGTAGAGCCTAGTGTATCATATACTAAGAGATGTGTGTTATCGTCGATTGCCAGAATATTTGATCCTTTGGTTATTCTTGGTCCAGTTATAGCCAAAGCAAAGATTTTCATGCAGAAGCTGTGGCGTCTTAAAATTGACTGGAGTGACAGACTACTGCTGAAAATCAGGAATGGCATCAATTTCTGGTTACACTAGAGAGCATAAACAATATCGATATTGACAGACGTATAGTGATTGATCAAGCTAAAACAGTTGAGATTCATGGTTTTGCAGACCCTTCTGAAGGTTGTTTCGGAGCAGCAGTTTATAGCAAGTCCATCAATTCTTCTGGGAGAACATTGGTAAAATTAATCTCGAGTAAATCAAGAGTTGCTCCTCTTAAAAGTCTAATGATTCCCAGGCTTGAGCTATGTGCAGCTGTCTTATTATCAAAGTTGGTGAAAAATGTCCTTATTGCCTTGACATTAGTTACTCAAGTCTACTTATGGACAGATTCAATGATAGTTCTCACATGGATAGAAAAGGACCTTAAGACGTTTGTTCAGCATAGAGTGGCCAAAATTCAAGAACAGTTCAACAGTTGCATCATGTAGCATCAGATCAGAATCCTGCGGATCTCCTATCACGGGGTGTAGATCCTGATAAGCTAATGCATCATAAATTTTGGTTGTGTGGTCCAGCATTTCTGTTGGACAGTGACTATCAAACACGGACAGTAACTATCTCGGCTAAAAGTGAGGATTTCAGTGCCAAACTCAAAACCCCTATCATAAGGACTCTAAGGTCACTTTACCAGTGTTGAATGTGACTGTGAATAATTTTTTACATAATTTACTTAAATTGAGTAATAATTATATAACTATTTTACGTGTTGTTATTTATATTTTCAGGTTCATGAATAATTTGAAAAAGCGCTTAGACAGATTGTCAGGACCAATTAGTGTACAGGAAATAAACAAAGCAGAATTGTTCCTGATAAGTGTAACACAAAGTGAATGCTTTGGCGAAGACATCCGCCAATTAATAAAACACGGAACTGTCTTACATAAAAGTAAGTTAAAGAATCTGAATCCTTTCATGGATTCTGATTTAGTTCTCAGTAGGAGGCCGTTTAGGTAAGAAAAATCTTACTTATTTTGCTAAATATCTGGCAATATTACCTTAAGTTCACAAATTTACTTTTTTAGTTATTGAACATTGTCACAAAGATTTTTGCATGTTGGTGCAACCGCATTATCGAGTCACGTGTGCGAAAAGTTCTGGCCATTAAATGGTCGTTCTATTTGTTGTAAAGTTGCACATGATTGTATTGTATGTTTTAAAAACAAACCAGTTGTGTGTAAACAAATAATGGAAAATCTCCCTTCAGACAGAGTTGTACCAGATTATCCTTTTAATTGTAGTGGAATTGATTTCTGTGGTCCATTTTTTTATAAGATATCGTAACCAAAGAAAAGGAATTTTACATTAAATTTACGTTTGCATATTGTATGTTTTGTGTCAAAGGCAGTGCATATCAAAATGGTGATGGATCTAACTTCCGAAGCCTTTATAGCTGCATTAAAGATATTTATATCTCGTAAGGGAATATGCACAAAATCATATTCGGACAATGCCACAAATTTCACTGGTGCCAACAAAGAAATAGAAAGACTTCATAACTTAATTAAAATCCCAAATGAAACTTTAGCTAATTATTTATCTGCCGAGAATATTGAATGGAAATTCATACCACCCGGGGCACCCAATTTCGGAGGCCTTTGGAAAGCTGCAATTAAGTCATTTAAATACCATTTTAAAAGAGTTGTAGGCAGCACAAATTTAATGTATGAGGAGTTTTTAACCGTAATCCTACAGATTGAGGGAGTTTTAAATTCAAGACCTCTGTGGCCATTAACAGCTAACGAAGATGATTTTGGAGTTTTAACTCCTGTGCATTTTTTGATAAATAGATCAATAGATTCAATTATTGAGCCTGATTTAACCAATTTAAATGAAAATCAACTTGAGAAATGGCAGAGAATAACAAGAATCATGCAGTTGATTTGGAAAAAATGGCACCATAGTTACTTAAATGAAATGCAACAACGAAATAAATGGAGATTTGAAAAAGATAATATTCACATAGGAGACTTAGTGTTATTGGTAGAGGATAATGCAACTTCTCACAAATGGGTTGTAGGTTGAATAATTGATGTGTATTATGGTGATGATAAAAAAAATTCGGGTTGTTAAAATTAAAACTAAAGCAGGTGTATTCAAAAGATGTATTTCCAAAATCTGTGTTTTACCTACGCCTGAATGAAAATTGTTATATATTAAGTGTATAAGAGATATTGTTTTACATTGTGTATATGTTAACTTTTAACCCTCAAGCGAAGAGTGGCAGAGATGAGATGAAGAGAATGGCTGAGAACCGCTGTGTGAACTCAGTTTGAAGTTATCAATAAACAGTTACAGCTGTGAAAAAGTAAATGTGATTATTTTGTGTAAGAGTATCCTTAACACAGTTAATGGCTTAAGAGTCAAAACTAACATTGTAAATAAATTATTATTTTAAGATTTACAACAGATTACACAGTTTGGCAATTCTAAATGATAAACAGCCTCTGATAAATTCTTTCAAGACACAGAAATCATCCATGTGGAAAGAATTTGTTCAAAAATCACAAAACCCTGTTTTCTATAACTGATACTTCAAAATGGTACTGTATAAGGTATTTCTCCCGCCTTCTTAGCAAGCCTTCATGGTCTGCAGTATTTCTCCCGCCTTCTTAGCAAGCCTTCATGGTCTGCACGTTCAGCACGTATTGAGAGGTTCGCTGTTCGATTTCCAGCAAAAGTGTTGATAATTTTTCAATCTCTCTTGCTTCCAAAAAATACCTAACATCTCTACAATGGAGTCCGAACTAGAAGGGTGTTGGATGATGATTCTTTTCACCCAGGATTTGGTGACTGGAGCCCCTAAAAACTCCAGTTACCCTTTAAAAGGGGGAGTATATATGGTATTTTTCCCACCTTCTTAGCCAGCCTTCGTGGCTCAGCGTATATTGAGAGGTCCGTAGTTCGATTCCCAGCGAAGGCTTTGCTAATTTTTCAATCTCTCTTGCTGCCCAAAAAATACCTAATGTCTATACAATTGCAAAGAAAGATCAAGCAACAAGAAAAAAGCTTTGCACAGCAGAAGTTGGTTTGAAGGTTCACCCATTCCTTTATTGACAGCAGTTTGGTTTATCAACTTTTGAAAGAACTCAGTTTGGTAGAATTTTATCAACTACAACTAGAAATGAATCCCTATATAACAATTGCTTAGAATACGAGTAATTGTATATTTTTATTTGTGAATTTCAGTATTTGTTTTTTATACTTATTTTGGATTTAATAAAACAGCAATTCCCCCCTGCTGCTATGAAGCTATATTGAGATTAAAGTTGCTATTATCTCTTAATAGATTATGACCCAACATGCAAAAGTTTCACCCTATTACCTGATAAATACCACAAATTTAACACTTGTTAATCATAAATGTTTATTTAAATAAGCCAGTAAAACATAAAAAACAGAAAAATAAGCATTTATTACATTATTTAAAAATAAGGGAAAATATTTTATAACATAAGAGGCACTTACTATTCCCTGGGTGATCAAAATCTGTGGAAACATGCATAGGAAGTTCTGAGTAAAGAAAATAATAATCAGAATACATGCTCTACTACAGGTAACACAAACTATCAAGGCACAATGTGAATATTAATAAAAAAAAATTAACAAATAAAAGCATAAAATTTAAGGGAAAATCCATGCATTTATAAACAAACATTTAATGTGAAACTATCTACATAAACAAAAATTTTAATATTTTGAAAACCTAGATATTGTTACAAAATAAAGCAGGTGCTATTTGAAAAAGTAATGAAAAATTTTATATCATTTCTTCAAAACAAAGTATAATATACTATTACAAAACTAAACTTATGAATATGATAATATATTTTTTTCTGTGCAATGTATCCAGTATCTGGAGTCAACAAATGAATGAAAAAAAGCAGATCCAGCAGTTTATTCCAATTATAAAATAGATTCTAATTAAAAATTATTATAATGAAGCAATCATGGTGCATTTATAACAATTTAATACAAGAGGTAATTAAATTTCACACTCTTAATACTTTTAACTATCGAGCTGGTAAATTGCTAAAAATATTATACACTTATACCTGTTATGAATAACTGAAATAAGAAAATGAAGAATGTTAAACTTCAGGCTCATAAATTGGTAACAAAATTATGCACTTATATGTGTTATGCAAAAATGAAAAGTTTAATCATATTTTTAACAATTTTTCTCAAAAACTGGCCATAAATATATATAAAACATTAAAATTCTTTAATGGTAAGGTTTCAACACAGAAAAATCAAAAATTAAGATTCCCATGTTTCTTTAAAATACTGAATTCTAAAACAGAATTAAAAAAGATAACCCAATGTAAATACCTTTTCACATAACTGATCCAGAAGGGTTACTCTACAAACTTATCACCATAAGATTTCCAGGATACATTATACACATCATTAATTCTTATCTGACGAATAGATTTTATGTCATTCACTGTAACAATTATTACTCCATACGCCATCAAATTTATGGGAGCATCGTCCCTAAGGAAATGTAATTGGCCCAATACTATTTTTGATTTATGCAAATGACATATCACACATCATTAACAATACACTGGCCAGATACGCTGATAACACAGTGATTATGACTCAAAATTTATCCCTAAGTTCAGTCATCCAAGAACTACAACAATGCCACTCACTGGAGTCCTGGCTTCAAAAATGGAAAATAGCTATTAATGTTGACAAGCTCAAAGCAGTTCTTTTCACCAGGGAAAGAAATCTGGATTTAAACATGACTGCTACCATATATCATACTGCCATCTCCTGGGCAAAGCAGGTTAAATACTTAGGTGTTATTCTTGATCAAAAACTCACATGGAACCTCCACATAACACATATTGTCTCCACGTTCCTGTCTACTAAAGCTTAATTACCTCGTTTCAGTTACCAAAACTCAGTTTCATCTGCCGATAATAAATTATTCATGTATAAGGCCATATTGTAACCCATAATTACTTATGCTTGTCTGTTATAGGGTTACGCATGTAAAACCCATTTTAATAAACTATAAGTGCTTCAACACTGAGACAAATAATAGCGATTAGACAGTTTATAAGAAATAGTGTAAACCACGACAAATATAAAATTAAAATATTAGTGAAATACATGGAAAAGGTTTCAAAGAAATTTTTCAGTATACTGAAAATGTAAACAATGAAAGTATAATGCAACTGGAGTATTTTATGATAGTGTAAATAAAAAGACTTATAGTGGGGCTCCTTCACTTAGATTAATTTACTTGCCAATGCAGAGGTATTTTTTATTAACTCCTTACTTTCAGCCAATCAGAAACTTTCTGCCCCTGATGTCATTATAGTGCTAACACAGCTCCTTACACCTGACTTCCTTGGTAGTTATGCTGCAAGTATTCAACATCTCATCAGAAGTATCTGACTTAACTTGGGGTTTTTCTCTGCACCCGAAGTGCTTATTGCACTCTGATTTATTATCCTCAAATGCTAGCCATAATTGCTATCAACTTCTTCACTTATTACACACAGGATTGATCTATGTCCTGGAGCCTGTAACATGTGACCTGCTCACCTGTTTATAGTTCAACTGTTTAAGATATCAAGTTACAACTATCGAGCACTTAAGTTATAGTTTTATCAATAGTATAATGAATATGAGCATCATTTTCTACTTATGACGTCATCTTATGGCAAACAATAGTTCTCTCTGGCATATACAGGTACTGCCACTAGATCAGACAAATAACAGATAGCAGCAAGCATTATTCTCTTACTTCACAATGCAATGTAATAATAACAATAAGGCATTTTTTTTTTTTTTTTTTTTTTTTTTTTCAAAATTAAACTCAATGGCATGCTTTCAAGCAATACAAATTCCTGCTTTTCAATTTATTATGATATTAAATAATTTCTTAAAATACAATATGATTAATCATCTTTGCCGAAAGGCAACAGAGATTTTAGTAATTCCATTATTCGTATGTGCAAGGCATAATAAACAAAATTTGCTACAGAATTCAGTACTGTAGCAAAAAGAAATGAGCCCAAGACAATGAAGCCATATAAGATGCAACAAAATGAAATTGCAATACATGCATGAAATGTGATGCAAATAATTTTGGAATGCATGCATTCATAGAAAAACAGGCAGTATTTGTATGCTATTAAACATAATTCAATAATACATGTTACTCAAATAATTTTAAAAAATTCAGACATTATATGCAAACCTGCTTTCAATGAATCAATTAATAAACATGATATTCTAACTTAAATTACTATTTCCTGGTTAGACAATAACAATTACTTTTACAGTGTGCATACATACATAGATAAATTTTTCTTAAAAAAGTAAACTTGACATACAATTCTTTAGCATCATAAATAAAACAAATCATTCCAAAAAGAATTTATGATTTGCTGAAATTTCTTAACACACGATTTAATAGAAAAAAGTTAATATGATATGATAAGCTCAGCTTGACATCAGAGTATCATCTGAGTTTTATATGATGTCCTGAAAATAATTCTTTATTTAATGGGGGGGGGGCAAAAGATTTTCACACGAATTGCTGTGTATTGAAATTGATTTACAATATAGATATTCTACCTATACTAGCTCAGATATGACAAATTAAGCAATGAGATTTTTTTATCATAGAGATTTAGCAATTTATATACTTTTTATCTCATAAAACATTAAATTTGCTCGTTTCGTAATTTTTTATTCCAAGAAAGTAATATGTGAAAATAATTTAGCAGATCATGTTTCCAAGATATATTAACTTAATCAATAAATTTTTAAATTAAAACAATAAATCTTTTTAAATTGGCATACAATTAACAAAATTATGCCATAAATTTTCCTTTTCACCAATTTAACTTTCTGATGGTCATCAAGAAGCTCTATTCGCATTCCAGTTACACATTACAGTGGGTGCAAACGAACACACCTAACATTACAAATTTATGAGTGACAGATATTGCACATATTTTGGAAGAAAGAATTGTTTAATCTCATAACTGTTGAGGGGTTAAAAACATAGTCACCAGATTTCGGATTATTTGCATAACTTTACTGTAATACAAAATAGAGCATTAAGAAGCAAAAGTAATTATAAAAAAAAAAAAAAAAAAAAAAAAAAAAAAAACTTCAGTTTTACGTAGACAGGCTACTGAAGTGAAAAGTAGCCATCTATCAAAGAACAAATTTATTCATAAAGTTTACTGAGAATAGATGGGTAGTAGAGAATTTTTTGTCAACGAATTAAAATTTTTAGCAAAGTGACTGATAACAAGGTGAAAATTTCTTTCAAACAGATTTTTCACATGAATTCCAAAAACTGAAATTAACTACTAAACTGGTATTTGAGTCAATGAATATTAAAAAAACTTCAAATTTCAACTCTGTCTGCGAACTTTATTAATTAATACATTTACAAATACAGTAGTGCTTCACATAATGAATAAGTACTTGGGTTAAAAAAGTCTAGTATTACAAACAAGCAAATATCACCACAGCTAAATATGGTATACTTTCAGTTTAGGCAAAGCATAAATGAAGGGGAAAAAAGCACAAATAAAGATAATGACCAAGGCAGCTGGCAAGTAAGCATATTTCTTATTATTATACCAAGAATGAAGTTACAAGCCCTCGTCGAATATGAACACAAGAAAGCCTTGAGTTTTAAGGTAAGCAAGCAAATTTTTCCAGGTGAATGGGAACAAGTTTTTTTGAAAATGATGATAATACAAAAAGTTACATGCTTACAGCAACAATCAAAGACCATATGAGAGAAAGTGAGAAGAGTTCCAGATCACTGCCAAACGATGACATCTCAGTCAACCTGAAGTAAACAGAGTGGCATACCTGTTCAACGACAATGTTATGGATTACTTCATGGCCTAACAAACAGGAAAAGAAAATTACTTTGAACAACTTCTTGAAACTTGGACCTTCTAAAAAAGTTGACAGAAATGCAAGACAATGGCAAGGAGAGCTGAGTTTTCCACTCTCGGTGGAATATCAAGAAGACATTAAACAGATCTTAGAGGTATTAAATTTTGAGCAAGAAATATGAAAACCAACTATGCCCTCACTGGAATTCAAACTATAGAACTTCCAACAGTTAATGCAATAATTCCCTATATTCTTCCCTACTTAAATGATAATTATAAAAAGCTATGAGACCAAGGTCATGAAATTCAGGTATGACAAATTATCATCTACCATAATCCACTTTGGATGTCACTACAGATACATTGGGTTTTTTAAAGCAAAGACTTGTAAGGAATTAGTAAAACCCCTGGGGTATTCAAATCATGAATATTCGAATTGCTAGCTAGACATGCTGTCCCTAATACTATGGTAGCACGCACAGGGAATGTAATAATTCCATATAAACTTCAAAATATCGTGGAGGCTGCATACTTAGTATATACAAATATTATTTAAAATTAGTATAACAAATTAATAAATTTTTGCATTTTCAACTTCTTTTCATATTCTCAAGAATTGTTTGTTCTACAGCGCTCTGTAATGCCGGACTGAGACAAAACAATTTCTTGCTTGATGAATGCCATCTTGGGACAGGTTTGCATTTATCATATAAGGCACCACTATATAAAAAACAAACTATAATAATTCGTAAAACTGACATTTACAAAAAGTTGTTTACAAGTTAAAATGCTACAACTGTCTTAAAACATAGAATTTCTTTACACACCACTGAAGGAATAAAAACTGAAACAATTATTTTTATTGCATAGATGACAATCAAAGAAAAATAAAATCTAATTTAAAAAAAGTAACTTTAGAGTTATTTAATTTTGGATTTTAAAAGTAACATTAAATTCCAAAACTAAAATACAGGAAAAGAAAAAAATGATACTACACAAAATTTACCTTTTTTTTTTTTTTTTTTTTTTTTTAATATTGTTTTGCATCTTTTTTCATTTAATTATTAGTTAAAATACATCATTACATTATTTAAATGAGAATTTGAAAACTTATTTCCTTTTCATAATTACATTTAAAAGCTTTTTTAATACCACCTGAAATATTTTCTTTCATACCTATATCTGGAGATGGAGGTGGAGGAATTGGAGATGATGGTCCTAAGGTATTTGTGTGATGGCCATGTGTCATAGGATGAACCATTCCTATTTGGGGCTGTGGTGGCAACAATGGTTGAGAAGCCTGAGATGTGGAAACCATAGGCAAAGTAGAATATCCACTTCCTCTTCTCATTTCTTGTGATCGAGGATGACCAATTGGATAATTTGGTGCATAATTGCTGGGCACCTGTGGTGGTGCAATAGGAGGAGCAGGTGTTCTATATTCTTTGGTTCCACGAGACAGACTGCCTCCAGCACGAACTGGCTGTGGAGGAGTTGGAGGTTTTGTCGTTGGAGCGGGTCCTGCACTACTACCATTAAGAGGATTCTGATGCACTGGAGCTAAAGTACGCTTTGAGCGAGGAGTGTTACTTGTTGTTTTTACTCCATGTCCAATATCATCCAATACTGTATAATCAACAGGTTTCCTTATATATTTAATAGGTCTTTCTTGATTAGCAGGAGCTAGTATTTTATGCTGACGTGTTGTGTTTTTGTTAGTAGTTAAGATTCCTATTTCCCTTCGAGCAACTTTCTCTTTATGTATCATAACAGTCTATAAGGAGATAAAATAAAAATGAGTATTAAAAAAAGAACCACATAAAATGTTTTAACTAAAACATAGAATAAGATATGGATGCTTCACTTGTCAAATTGACTAATTCCATTTTTTTAAATTTTATTAAATTTTAATATCAGAGCACTTTATTAGCTCCGAACTGTATAATTCAAAGCAAATTTCTCTAATAATTATTAACACCACTAAATGACAAAACTCTTTTAGCCAATGAATAAATAATTAATTTCAGAAGCCAATCTGATTAACTTCATACTATAATGTATTTCATAATAAAAATTCAGTTAACCCACTGCACTCTTTTTTTGTCTGATATGGAGACATATGAAAGTTGTTCACAAGATCCACAAGATCATAAAAACACTCAAAATTATTTAACGAAGACACCGAATTTGATGCCATTAATATAAGAAAATGTGTAGCAGATAAACCACTACATCTGAAAAATTAAAGGTGCAGCGGTACAATTTTAAGTACCCCAAGGAGTACAACAAACAATGGTGGACAATCTGTGTTAGCATCAGGCACATGTGAGGCTGCCACGATAAGACATCTTAGAATGGTCGAAGCACTGGCATTGGAAGCATCGGATAGGGTTGGGAATATAAAGTCTTACAGGACAATTTAGGTATCTGTCCTTAATATTCTTAGGCAGATCAGGTGAGTTGAAGGTCAGGATCACGTGTTTTGCATCGAGCAACCGAACTTCGTTGTGCATCTTGATCTGCTTAGCACCACAGACGTTTTGGCTAGACAGCTCGGACGCGATCGCTTCTTCGGGAACACACAAAAAGTCAATTTTCGAGATTACACCGTGACAATAATTTAATGTCTTATGTGCTGTTACAGTGACATTCGTTTGTCCAAGTTTAGTTATTTAAACAGCAGACTGGGTGGCTGAATTTGTATCAACAAGCAAGTCTCCAGAGCGGAGATGCTTTATATTTCTGGGCTCACCAATACAAGAATGAATGTATTTATTTGTCACAAAAGGAGACATCTTTTGCAGCTCCCCAGATGGACTAGAGATAACAAGGAAATGGGGACTATTATTAGGATTATTTGCATTTACATCTGTATGTACTTTTTTAACAGTAGATTTTTCAGAACTAGCACTTTGAGCGACTTGAGTTACTTCGAAGTCTTTAAATAGATAAATATGAGAGTTGGCCATATTGAAGAAAGAAAAGATTGGGTCCGACAAGGGAACACAGATTCCTGTGTTCCCTTGTTGGGCTCCGTGGTTGGCGACCTATACGCAAACTGAAGCTCCATAGTCAGACCTATATGCAAACTGAAGCCTCACAGTCAGCTTTCCCAAAAGCAGGTACTCCCGAGAGCTTATCCCCAAGCCACTGACCACAAGGACTAGTGACCAGCCGATTGACACCTATGAGGACAACTAAGGTGCCTTCCGTTTAGCTGAAGCAGAAGCCAAAGCAGTGTGTTGGGGACAGTACCTCGCCCCTCAACTACCAAGACCCTCCTTTCCAGCGACACAGTTCTCCACATATGGCAAAACACGTAGGCAGTTTTCTTGCCACTCGAAAACAAGAGCTGTTCCAGTTTTTCGTGGCGAACCTCAACCTCCGAAGAGAAAAACCACAAGGAAGAAAGAATGAAGAAATGTTTCAGCTCAGAGGAGAGGAGACGGAAAAGAGGATAGATCACGGGGTCCCAGGATCGTGACACCCATATCACTAAAAAGATGATTCCCTGAAGAGCTAGGGTACCTCGTTATTGCCACACCCGTACTCATATAAAGTGAGCACCTGAGGGGAAACCCTGGATGCGAACAAATCTTGTATATTTAAGTAATGCATATGCTGTTTCAGGATCCAGACATAAGAAAATATAATTGATGCCAAAAGAGACATCACTGAACCAGTCATATTAAGGAAACAAGTAGTAATCTGGAAAGCACAAGAACATATACTTATTGTAGGAATTTCCCTGAAACTGAATATGATGTACTGAACATACTGGATACTAAAACGTATCTGCACATGCCTTGCAGACTTTATATCTCTTTTATGTTGCTTAATCAGTGTTGATGGCTCACAGGACTGGCTGACTGTTCAACGGACAAAGCATCTACTTTGATTAAATAAGAAGTAGTGCATTGGAAATTATTGATTTTCTAATCCAAGATATCATAAGATCCAAGATAATAATAATACATAACTTTTAAATACAAATAATAATATATAACAAATGTTTTAAATAAATGATTTTATGATTGTTATGCTTTCCAACTACATCAGAACCAATGCAGTTAATTATGCTGATTTAGAATACAGTTATGAATTAGTTGTTCGGTTTGAACCCATTAAAAGATGCTATCATTAATAGAAATACAGAGGTTCTGAAATTTATTATTATTTGTAGTAATTTCACAAAAGTAGTACTTTATTTATCAAGAAAAAGAGTTTTTACCATTACTGAGTTGATACAGAATTCATATATTACATGATTTTTATCTGCATACTAATCGAATAAAATGCTGAATATTTTACAGTAATTCTAAAATATTTACTATATGAATATCTATGGTTAACTCCAGGTCTGCACTCAATGTGCAATATATAAAGATGACATGCAAACAAGTTACTTAAATTACCTGTGATATATGATTTATCTGAGACTCCATTTCGGCCAATTGAGTTGTTTGTAAGTCAAGCATGTGAAGCAAGTTATACGCCAAAGTATTAATTTGGTAAGCTACACTAGCAAGAGACTGTGTTGTATAATTTTTTGTTTCTTCAAGAGCTGACCTTTTATTTTCAGCCTACAAAAGAAAAGAAATTAAAAGCTGACACAATAATTTAAAAAAAATATTACAAATATTTATTCACATTCCATATGGGCGATAAACTTATCACATTAAAATAGCCCCAGTTGACCTAATATGCTAAATTCAAAATGAATCAAAGGCAGATAGCCCTAGTGTGCTTTGCCATAATTAAATACACCATCAAAATGAATCAATAAATGAATAATTAAAAGTGAATACTATAAAAAGAAAACACAATGGCTTTATTTTACAAACACAGATATAGCATGTGAGGTTAACTCTCCAAGTTGCATTTGGAAACACCAAACAGCCCACCCTTTCTAAAATACACACTAAAGGTGGTATTCAAAATATAGCATAGTGCCACAACACAACACTACTGCATTCCATGTAGCTTGTTCTAAATACTTTTCAGTACTATGCAAGCCTATGTGAGATTACATATACTGCAGAAATGAAAGTTGAAAAAAACAATTGATAAAAATAAATGCAAAGTACAATCTATATTGGCAGTTCAGCATGCACCCACATAACACTTTTTTGGGGAGGGGTGAATGCTAGACATAATTGATGAACTGATTATGGCCAAAGAAAATACTGACTGCAAAACCTATGCAAATTATACAACATATATTGTCAACTTGCATTAGTATAATACTGAATGTAATAATTCATCCTGATATAATAATCTATATGGAAGGCTTGACTGATATTGTCTATTATAGAGTGTCCATAGAAATTCAAATTCCAACTTTCCTGTTGTTCCATGACAAGACAAAACAGAACTACTTCCCAGACCATATATAATGAGCTAGTTAATTAATTAAATGAGAGTAAATGGATAATTTTATGCATTTACTACAAAACACAATAACTAAGAACATATAAAAATTTTACTTGTTTTACCCATCATTATGTAGAAAATGAAATAAATATGTAAAGATGAAAAACATATAAGCAATATTCTAACTTTAATTTACTATAGCTATTTAACTCTACCCTGCATTCAGATATTTGCTCTTTCTATTGTAAAAACAGTGGTTTTATAATAAATCTCTCTAAACTGCATCACTTCAAAATGAATCCATGTCATACGATTCTTATTTAACACTAATGACAAAGGCACTTAGTTTCAGACAAAAAGGATTTCAGTTTAGAAATCAAAACATTTTACTAGCAAATGGGAATTAAATATGAAACCAAAACCATCATTCTGAATCAAGCTTTCATCTTAGATCACATTCCTGCTTTTGATTGCTGACTTTTGACATGTTGCCACTTACCTCTCTTTTAATAATCATATAATTATAACAAAGTAAAAAGGCACAAATGTGACCAAAAGTTGGGTGTACATATTCTGCTCCTCTTTAAATTAAATGCTTAAGTCTTTTCCATAACTACTGCTAATGCCTTAATAAACTTTCTGGTTCTTAAATCAATCTAAAATACTCTTAACTTAAAAGTTGTTTTTATTTTCAATTTAATTTTTATTATTATGTTTGTTAGAGCTGAATGGAATTGAGAAACTTTATCATGCCGCCAGATGTCTGCGCTGAGCCATGCGAACATTTTGTTGTCGATTTTGGCACTACCATTATTTAACACTAATTTTTAATTACTACCATCAGCCAAAGAGCAATTTTCAAAGACAGGTAAAAGTCCTTAGTGGCTGTAAGCATGCAAATAACCATGGTCAATGGTATTGTGCCTATTACAAAATGCATTTCATATTAAATATGTGCTTTCCATGAATAAAATATTAATTGCATGAATAAAAAAAATATTAAAATCAGCCATGACCAACGACCTTTTCATGCATCTACATGCCACCAATTTCCACAATAATAATAAATATGTAAACCAAAATTCTAACTTAAATTTGCAATAGCCTCTTAGTTCTTTATTTTAACCTGGATTTTTTCAGAAACAAAAATAATTTCTGACAGGAATACCAAGAAAGAATAGAAGTTTCAAATGTGAAATTCAGAAAAAAATATGAAAATATGCATGTAAAACTGAATCTAAAAATTCTAGTGAGAAAAATATATTCGTGAAGTTGAAAAATTCTTAAGTGAATACTTAAAAATCTCTGAAATTAACGATTACTAAGTACTATGGTGACACTTGTTCTTGGCCTTGAATTCTGGAATCAGCTGCTTTGTAGTTGCATACTCCAAAAATAAAGTCTCAGCTCGATTGAAGTTTTATTATTAAAATTACTTCTGCAAGGTTTAGCCTTAAATATTATCAGTGGATTATCATTACCATGAAAACTATATTAAAACTATTGATATACTGTTTTGGCAGAAATGACTAGCTAATTAATGCATGAACAAGCTGTTCAATTTAGAACCTGTAAAAGATTCTGGAAACATAGCTACTTTAAGGAAGCTTTACAGAAATAAAACTTTCATTTTTTTTCAAATGATACTAGCAGTTCTTATGGACATTCATAATCTCTCATTTCTTTAAAGTTAATACCTGAGAATTTAACTCTAGAATTCACTAAAGAAAGAAGTGAAAAAAATTCTATGAATTACTAATGTTAATGAATGAATTAGTAATGCTTTTAAAAATAGAAATCAAATGCCAAAAGACATCAATAATGGTAGTTTGTTTCTAAATAATATGTTAATGAGCCCTCATTTTGAACCAAAAGTTTTCATCAAAGTTATAAAAATAAATCTTGTGTGTAGTCAGTCTAAAAAGAATGATTACTTTATTAATAACCAAGGCACTAATTAGTCAGTCTCTGATTTATATCAACATTATTTATAATACCTATCTTCTTGTTTAACTTTATATTTTTCATTAAACCTTTTTTCTTATTAAATAACTCCCAGCAAATAGCAAATACTCCATTCTGTGTAAATCCAGTTTTCCATTTCAGCAATGGTCTTTTATCTTGAATCTTGGAAATCAAAATTGTCAGTCCCATCCCCAAGTGAGGCCATTTTAGCAAGGGTATCTGCCCTCTCATTTCCGACAATTCCACTGTGTGCTTTCATCCAGTGTAATTTAGCAATATGTTTTCTTTCAGCCTTTTTAAACAAATCTTTTATATCATTAATCAGTCCATTTTTATGATCTGGTTGGGAAAGTGCCTTGAGCACAGAGAGGGCATTAGAATAAACTATTAATTTTTTATTAATCCAATTCAAAGCCTCTTTTCAGTGCACATAGTTCTGCTTGATAAACTAAATTCACTGATTTAAGTTTTATTCTCACATTGCCTATTTCCACTCCATGAAAATAAATTACCACAGTGCTACCCTTCCCCCCATCGATTACAAAACCATCTGTAAAAACATCTATTTTGTCACCAGAAGGAAAATCACATAATCCAAATTGTGTCACTTGGGGGGGGGGAAATATCTTCATTCTCTTGTTGAAACACCCTACTCTTGAGTATGTTTTGTCGAATTTCAGTATCTATAATAATTTTATTAGCTAATAGAAACTTTTTGTAGTAAAATTTGTACAAAATCGAGAGGGGCGGAACACCCACAAGGCAACTTCAGTCAAAACGTTCTGAAGGCTCTTGTAATGGCAAGCATCCAGCCTCTCTGCAGGGTGTCCAATTTCATTCTAATCCTAAGTTCTCTACCTGGCAGCCCCATGCTCTGACTTCATATACTATTTTAGAGATGATCACATTTCTATATCTTACTCAGGGTGTGACTCTTCCTATTCAAAGTATCACCACTATAATTATAAAATTTTAAAATGTTATCTGTGATTCTATGAATATGCTTAAAATGTTCTGTAAGATTTAATTCATCAATAATCATTCCTAGATATTTCATATTTTCATAAAATTTGATACGATCACCCTTAAATTTCAATTGTGGGGGGTCTAGTCTTTCTTCCACCCTGAAGGAAAAAAGATTCACAAGTTCTTCATTTACTAAAATATATTTTTTCTCTGTCACTCCATTTTTTCATATCATTTTCTACAGGGTAACTACACTACAATAAGTTTCTACAATAAGTTCGAGGAGCGCCATCTATTCGTCAATATTAGACCTAAAACTTCAACGCCATTTTCATATTTGTTCTTTCTTAGGAACACGTCAAAAGTTTCATTTCGATCTGTTAATTTATTCATTGTTTAACCACCCTTTATATCTAACATATTGTGGCTTTTTTCAGGTATGGATAAAATTGAGCAACATGCAGTTATCAAATTCTTTGTTAAGAAAGGTTTAAAGGCAATGGAAATTCATACCGAAATGGTGAATGTGTTGGGTGAATCTGTTCCTTCAAAAACAATGGTTTGCAAGTGGGCTAGTTTATTCAAAAGTGGTCGTACCAGCCTTGAAGACGATCAGCGAGAGAGACGTCCAAAAACTGCATCAACACCGGAAATCATTGGAAAAATACAAGATATGGTATTGGAAGACCGTCGATTGACTGAAAGAGATTTAACAGAGGCTTTAGGCATTTCATTGGGCACAGTGAGCAATATTTTGAGTGTTAATTTGGGTTTCAAAAACTTTGTGGAAAATGGGCACCACATTCTCTAACAATGGAACAAAAACACATTTGGATGCGACTTTGCAATCAAAATTTGGAGCGTTTTAAGAAGAATAAGAGACTTTATCCGTCGATTTATCACAATGGATGAGACTTTGATCTACCATCATGATCCTGAATCAAAACAGGAGGCTAAGGAGTGGTGTGAACCCGGCTTTTCGGCGAAGCGAGTTCGTGTGCAAAAATCAGCCAAGAAAATGTTAGCATCAGTTTTTTGGGATGGGAAAGGAATTTTGTTTATAGATTACCTTCAAACTGGCAAAACGATTAATTCGGATTATTATTGTAACCTTTTGAATCAATTAGACGAAAAAATTCGTGAAAGAAGACCCGGATTACAGAAGGAGAAAATCATTTTCCACCAAGATAACGCACCTGCGCACACAGCTCAAAAAACCACTGCTAAAAAGACTGAATTGAAGTACAAATTGTTGCAACACCCAGCCTATTCGCCAGAT